CAACAGTAATGTCATGGTGGGTGTTGAGGGCAAACTCAGTGTGTGCGTCGCGACTGTACTGGACCAAGCTAATTTGGACTTTGTTGGGTCCAATATCAAAGGAATTGACCAGAACCTCCAAGAAGGCACGGACTTTAGCAAAGTTTTGTAATCCAATACTGTACGAGCCATCAACCAACAGGACCACATCAGCTTGCACATCTACTCCCTGAGAACATTCTTGAAAAAAACAGAAAATGATGGGTTACTCAAATGATGAAACAGCAGGTAATCAGTGACTCTCTATATTTAACATACAAACTGACAATAGCGCATGACATATCATCTTACCTGTTAGCACCTTGACAGGCTGAGTCCTCTCCATGGCCACAGCGGGTTCACTGGGTACCAGACCTTTCAGGGCAAACAAGCTGACCTCATACTCAGTCTCAGGGGAAAGGTCACGAACATTGATGAATGTCTGAGTGGGTCCCATGTACAGCTCATGGCGTTTCATTCCAGGTAGCATGGGAACCAGGGTGAGCTTGTAGCCTGTGATATCACCCAGTGAGGCGTCCCATGTCACTCTCATGGACTTAGATGAAACATCTGTGATCTGCAGATTAGAGGCTGGCTCCACCACTGAGTACAAAAGAAAACACAGGAAATGAAAAAATGATGAACTGGGGGGGGTGACATTTAGATACATTGCTAAAAGATTTCCAGGATTATTAAGCAACAAAATGTACCCTCATATTAGCACTTTTCAAATACATCATTTGACTTACTTTCTTCTCCGCTGACCAGAGAGGTGAGCTGCTCATCAACACCGGAGCACACCTCTGAGATGATGCTTTTCTCTACCTCTTGGATCTCATCAAAGCTGGGAACATTGTACACATGTTTGTTGTAAGGTGTGGAGGCCATTTCTCTTAGCTCAGCCTCATCTGCTCCTTTGATACCTGAGAGGGAAAATGTCAAGTATAACAACATCAACTGTTATATTGTTTTAGATTTACAATATTGAATATGTTAGAAAAAATACAGCAGTACTTGACTTTTACCAAGTCACAATGAACAATCAAATGTAAATCAAATGGTTTCCAAAAAGAGGAAGTTGTTTACATGGGAGTGCACATTTCAACAAAACACAGAATAATAAATCATACCTAGGACAAATATTTCCACTCCAATGTTCCGAAGTCTTTTAGCATGCTCCTCCACTGGATCCTGGGATTTTCCATCAGTGATGATCATGGCTATTTTTGGAAAAGCTTTCCTGGATCCAGCTGCTTCCGTGAAGATATTTCTCAGCAGGTAATCTATGGCATCACCTTTAAAACAAAAATGTGCATGTATTTATGAATATTTGTCTTCCACTCTTGCATCTGTATTCTTAAATTCATCACATTATACAACTTTTAGGTAATATACAGATGTTTGCCATCACTAATAGCTATGCAAGCCCAAGCTAGCTCAAATCTACTGATTTAAACCTTTTCATCTCTGCACCTTTGCCTGTTGTGAACACCTTACCTGTCATAGTGTTTCCTCCCTTGTATGGCAGAGAGTTGATGGCTTGGAGCAGATCTGTTCTTCTGGTGTAACGAGTGAGGGGGAACTCTGTGCGGGTGTCTGTGCTGTATTGAACCACACCCACCCGAGTCTTGTCCTCACCGATGTCAAAGGCCCCTGCCAGTCCGGCAATGAAACTACGGATGTGCCTGAAGTTCTCTCTACCCACACTCCATGAGCCGTCCACCAGAAAAACCAAATCTGCTACTGCACTGACTGAACACTCTGGGAAAAGACAGGGGAGAAATACGGCAGTTAGTCAGTCGGCGACAAAACCATTTTAAAGTTATAGAATAGATTTTGATTGATCCAGATTAGTGGTTAATGATTTGTAAAACAGAAAAGCACAAACTGAATTAAATTCAACCAAATTCCAAGCCAGAAATGTGCAGCAACAGCTGGAACAATATTTTTACATTGGCCTATTTCTTCTCCTGTCTGTCTAAATAAAACCAAATCCCTGACAGTTGGATGGCTCAGAGATATGCATCACAGAAAATATCTGCTACTGCCAAACAGTGGGCTGGTATTCCAGCAGACGGAGGCAAAAATGTGACTTTATAGACTAAACATTCAGAGGTTCTACCATGCTTTCAAACCGTACAAGGTTTTAAATCATAGATGAAATTTACTGGTACATTTAAGATGGCTCTATTGAAATAACTGACAAGGCTGATGTGGCTGGGCTTTAATCCTCATTCCCCTTGGCCCCACTGACTCTAAATTATGTACCTCACATTTCATACGCCTCATTCTTAAGGCTATATTTCTTTTAAAATTCCCTGACCCAATGTTGAAAATGGTGGCATCAAAGTAGGGCTATAGGCCAACAGTTTGGGTGGGCTTGGGTGGAAAGACCTTCTGAGCATCCATCCATCCATCCATTTTCCTCCGCTTGTCCGGGACCGGGTCACGGGGGCAGCAGTCTAAGCAAAGATGCCCAGACTTCCCTCTCTCCAGACACTTCCTCCAGCTCCTCCGGGCTGCGAGGGACACGGTCGAATGCCTTCTCCAGATCCACGCAGCACATGTGGACTGGTTGGGCAAACTCCCATGAACCCTCTGCCACTCTGAAGAGGGTATAGAGCTGGTCCAGTGTTCCACGGCCAGGACGAAAACCGCATTGTTCCTCCTGGATCCGAGGTTCGACTATCGGTCGAATTCTCCTCTCCAGTACCCTGGCATAGACTTTCCCGGGGAGGCTGAGGAGTGTGATCCCCCTATAGTTGGAACACACCCTCCGGTCCCCCTTCTTAAAAAGAGGGACCACCACCCCGGTCTGCCAGTCCAGAGGCACTGTCCCCGACCGCCATGCGACGTTGCAGAGGCGTGTCAACCAAGACAGCCCAACAACATCCAGAGACTTAAGGTACCTGGGGCAGAGCCTGAGCACTTAACCATTTATGAGGGTTTAGGAGAATGGGGAAGTATGTTTCCAAACATGAGATTGGGGAAAAAGTGAGCATGTCCACCTGACAGTCACCACAGATAGGTCTCATGACAGGAGCAGGGGTCAGTTTGAAAAGGGGACATTTGATTAAGAACCAAGAGTTACAGCACTTGTTTCTTGGTAGCACAATGAATATGTCATTGCTTGTCAGCCCCTTCCTGCTCTCCCTCCAATCCATCGCAAATACTATAACAGAACCCTTCTCTTCCAACTTCAAGCCTTCCTTTCCTTTTATTTCTTCATGTGCCTACTGGTTTCAATTAAATGAACCAATGTGAGCCCTCCCAGGCTCTCCAGGATCTCTGTCTGACAGCCCTAGCAGAAAGTAAAATGTACGCCTGACCAAATTATTCCATGGGAAAAAAATATGATGACAGTCATGAGGGGAAAAAATATATTTAAAAAAATTGGAAAGTCAGCCCCGTTGAGGTTTTGGTTGAGACTACAGTAAACATACTCACTGATTGCATCTCCTGGTGGCCTTCTGACTCGTTCACTGGTGTTACTGGTCTGTACTGAAACACAGGAAACACTTGGTGAGTTAGCATCGCACATTGCCACCGCTGTCTCACTGTGTGCTTTTTCACAGTGGAAAAAAAAGCACGAAAAGCAACACTTCATAAAAGCTGGCTGACAGGATGAAAACCACATGTACACAAACACATATCTTTATGCTGCATTAGCTATAAACAGTGTGTATTTCAGAAGTCACATATGTTGATTTCTCCCTACTTTCCCACATCTCATGTGGCTAGAGGAAAACGCTACACAGTATAAGTTATATTCTTACCAAAGGGTAATATCATGACCCCTAACATATCACTAGCAGTCAAATGTTATCTATATGTTTTAGGAGGAGGTGGTCTGCCTCTCTATCTGGATGGTTTAATTTTAGGGTATACCTCAAAATGTTTTCTTGATATCACACCAGTGAATATCAGCATATATAATGAAAAAGAAGACAGAGGGTTTTCTGACAGTATTTGCAAAGACATTTCTGGATACAAGTGTATGTTTTGTGTTTATGCTCTAGCATTACATAAGGTAACATCAGCAGAGTAACACATAAAATTATTTTAACTTAACCAAGAAGTAACACTTTAAAAAAATAAAAACGTGTGCAAAAATGACTGTGCACTTCAGTTGAATGAACAGAACATTTTAAAGCATAACTTTTTCAAATCTAAATTAATCCCCTGTGTGTACTTACTGGTCAGTTGCCCAAAGATGGGAATGCTCTCTTCTGACCCATAATAGGAGTTTATGGACACTGAGTAGCTCAAGTCAGGGGTCAAGTCAGTGAGTGAGGTCTTAGTGGTGTAGGCATCAAAGGCAAGGTCTCTAGCCCATTCATCTAGGAGAGCAAAACAAGTAAATTAGATGCTGGGGTGCAGTGTTTGTGTATTTGCTGTATATATACTGGCAGGTTCAGATAACTGCTAAAATGCTGACTCCATACTGACCTGCATCTGCAACAATTTGTATTCTGAAGCCCTCTATTGGTGATGAGGGTCTTTCCCATGACATTTCCACTGTGTTCTCATTTATAATTTTAAATTTCAAGTCTGAGGGAGGTTCCACTGCAAATTAACAGATGAAATACAGTTAAATCACAAGAAATACAGGAGGTATAAATGATTGGTTATATTTATGATCAAATCAAAGTGAGGCATTTTATTGATCCCAACGACAAACACTTCATGACTGAAGTGGATTTGTTTGTTGTTGGGGATAGAGACACGGCGTTGACATCCATGTGAGGGTGATGAGTAAAGAACACGTGACAACACACACAAAAAAAAAAAATGTGAGAAGCCATTTTGGAGCAAAATGGCGTTTGTTTGAGTTACCTAACCAAGACGGCCAGAAACTCAAGCGCTGGCATACACAACATGTGCACGACTCCACGCAAACTCTACCAAAGTGCAAACACTGAGTGAACCATCTAAAACATGCTGAATGCAGTCATCACAACGCATGCCCTGACCACATACTGCCTTTCTGATGGAGCTGATCTCAGCATTATTAAAAAAAGAAAAAAATGTCCTCATTCTAAAGTTACTGATTATACAATGGAATCAAAGTTGCCATATACTGTAGCTGCTGACATAACTCTTGACAAAATTACCATATGTTATATACACATTGTATATAAACATATTTCCAAGACAAAAATTGGTTTGTTGTTTATTTAGTTAAGAGTGTTAAAACAGGTAAGTGGCATACATCCATTGCAAACCTTTAAAAAAGAATACACAATATGTCGCTGGAGACTCTTGTGTACTTTTTCATTGGCAGCACAATGCACAAGAAGGCATGACAAAACATGATTACTTGAGACACTATGAAGACTGTCCAGATATTCTATAATAGAGGAAGTGCGTATATAAAAAACAAACAAAAAAAAACATATGGTGTGACAAGACCACGCGCCTTTGCATCGAGCTGACTTGATCACAGTGTCATGCATCATGTACATGAGAAAGTTGTTTGGCTCAACAACTTTGACTGACTGGATGGTAGTTTCCATGTACAGTTGGGACCACACAGACAGAGATGACAAACATATTTTAAAATGATATTCTTTCTTACAGCTTCTAGGCTACCAGCTGTGAGATCATGTTACACAGAAGACACGTGATACTATTCAGTCCATGACGTTCACATGCATGAAACTCACGTCAGTAACAGCAACACACAAGTTGAATCAAAATGTGCAAAAATTCTTTTCTTTCTTTTTCTTTGTTAATAAAGTTACTCACTGTCATTAAATATATCATACAGTTTGAACTTTGTGATCTTTTGAATACATTCATTCATTAGTAATAAACAAATTTCACTGTATTACATGCAACTCTGCTCAAAATGTTAGTTTATTAAATGTTTAAAAATGAGTGACACAGCGAACAATGAAATGAACAGAGAAGACAAATAAAATAAAAATAAAAATTCCCAGATGTTAATGAGGTTAGCATGACGTTATTTGTACTGACTTGTAGTGCTGGTCTATTAATCCACAGTGGTACCACTCGTACCAGTCCATACAGATAGCATGCATGTGGGTGCATGCTAGCTGTGAAGCAGAATAAGAGTGCCACGGGAGGCAAGAATATCATTGTAAAATATACTTTGGATGAGGAAGCTTGGGACACACTGAATGCACAGGCAGATGACAAACAGGAGCCACCAAATACTTAGAATCTGGGATTGGAGGATGACCAACCTGGCACATCAACAAGGACCACCGATGGACCGTGTTCCCCCTGATTTCTCCACGAGTACTCATCTCCAACACCAAATGGTGAGTTGTAGGGAAGTGCATGGAGTTTGTGTGTGTGAATGGGGAGGTGGGTGGTAAGCAGTAAAATGATGGAATGTGGAGTAAAAACATGGGTCTACTACTCCTCTACTCCTGCATTTGTTAATGGCAGGCTCATATAAGCATGCCATTTCAATTTGTTACAATTTCTCTGACCACACATCCTTTGGGTTTTTAAAATATACTTAAGGAACAATGGTGGTTTGTCAAAGTATTAATCTCCGGTGTGTGATTTGGCCCTTGCAGCTGTTTTGGTTGTATGGAATCCCGTCCCATCAGTTACTACTAAAGGACACTGTCTGGCCACTGTTCTGTCAGTAACCTTAGTCTCCAGGCAGCCAGAGAGAGTCAGCGATCCTGGGCTGAGCTACTGCCAAAAGGAGAGGCGAAGAAGAGGAGGAAAGAACACCAGCTCTCCCACAGAGAGGCAGGCCAAATGCCAAAGTAATTCCGCAACATGTGCTGACATTAAACATTACTGCAGATTAACTTTCCATATGTATTGCAACTCAGGGATTTTGCAAATGCCCGCAAAAAAGCCCGAGAAAGGCTCTTTGTCTCTGTGCTGTCTGAAGATTAATTTGTTATTCTCATATTTCATCTTTCCATTCCATTTGTGGAGATATGTGAAAGTAGACGTTAGACTCCTCTCACCCACCAGTGAAACCTTCAAAGGGGAAAAAGTCAGGTTTCCATACCGTATTTCCATATAAAATTACATAGAGTCATGTCCTGGTAAAACTACTGATAGATTGTTAGCAGTCTGACAGGTTAAGTCTTGTGACAAACACAGAAAAATCATTTACTGCTACAAACATTTACACATATATAAGTAGAACATTTGAATTGGAAAGTAACAAAGTTGTTCAAGTGTGCCTCTTAAATATCATTTTAAAGTCTTGCATTTCCCTTGGATGCTTCCACTTATTAAATCTTTAACAAAAAACTACAATAATGGATACATAATGCAACATGTTAAGTACTTACAGTAATAAAAAGTATAACATGACCTTTTTATATGTTTTTACTGTTGAATTGATCATTTAAATCATTGTACTCTACATCAACTACTGTGCTATTAAGTTGTAAAATAACTGAATGACTTAAAACACAGTTTACTGACTGCTGCAACCACTGCAGAGAGATTTACACATGGTTTACAAAATCCTACTATAACTTCAACGTAATCATTATAACTATGTGATTGAACGTTTCCATAGAGGCTGTCAGTCTCATGGATTTGGGAGTCTTCCAATGTTTGCTCTGGGAAAAGTGCAGAGGCTAGCTACCATAAAACTAAAATAGACACAGCACTGCTAAAAGATTTATGTGGAAACATTCTGCAGGTGGCCAGCTGTTAAATACATTTAATTAGAAATTGGAAATGTTCAAATTTAGTGTGGCTGGTTTCTTAATCTGAATGAAAAAAATGCTCCTGAAATATTGGTTTAAACAGTTTAAACACAAGTAAACTGGATATGGATTTGAAATTCAAAGCTCATAATGTGTCTTGACAGAAAAAATCTGACAAAACACACTAAAGGTGAGGGATAAAAGTGGGACAATAATTAAAGAAGCAGTCGGTAGTCCAAAAGTCACAGAGTCAAATAGCATAGACATGAAATAAGAATAACTTTATTCAGTTTATCAGTACAGAGTTCAATGTTTCCATATGATGACTCTGACATTAAAGTAAAAGACTCATTTCTGTAGCAAAAAACAATCAACGGAGACAGTAAGTGAAAGAAGAGAAGGAGAATATGGAGAGACAGAGTGGGATAATGTATGTAAGTGTACTGAGGCCAGGTGGTTTCATTTACCTTGAGCATCTATGGATGTCAACAGGGCTGCAAGGAAGGCAGCAGTGGCCAGTGACAGCCCTAGCTTCATGTTTGGCCTTAAAGGGTCAGCAGCACATCAATCAGTCTGAAGACAAAAGGGAGACAATGTCTTGAAGCTACAGATCTATATTACAGCTCACTTTGTCAGTACAGTGTGACTAGGCACCATGTTTAAGGGACAAATGCATGTCAGAGTCCATTCGATTTAGATACAGCACAGTGGTCCCAGATGATCCCCTTTGATTCGGTTATTTTAATTCAGATTTACAGCTCCTATTATTTAGTAATTGCTCTAGGTTATGATGGCAAAAAGTGCAAGCTCCATCTAGACTCTCTTACACAATAAGCGACACACCTTGCTACCTCCTGCTAACACCCACACCCTGAGGTAGATACTGACTGATATGTAATAATGAAGGACTGAAAAACATTTTAACACATGCTACTCTGCTTTGATTTCCATATGCATAACATGGAAACACATTCCTTTCTAGCTGAGTTTTGGTGGCTGACTCTGCAGCTCACTGAGGTCTGTGGTTCTCCTTTGGTGTTTGATGTTCTTGAATGTAGCCTACAGCAACACTTCTTGATTGAGCACTATCTTGTATAAGCTTAATCACACATATGTATCATTAAAAGGCTCGTCCATGGGCTCACCTAATAGGCCATTATACACAGACAGATTGTTAATCTGTAATAATTAATGGCTCTGAAGTGGAATAACCTCATGTGAGGGGGTTACTCTTTTTACTAAGGGCTTAGTGGACCCCATCTAAACAGTGGAGTCTGGGTTCAGTTTCTGGAATCGTTACCGCAGGCTGTGCGCCCCGCCTGGTGCACAAGAAAGAAAACTGCAGCTAACGAGACGAAATCACTTTCTTGGCCCTTTGGGGCTCAACTAATCAAACTTTCGTAAATAAACATGAACCACATTAGCCAGACTACACAGACACTGCGTGGCCGTAGCTTCCAATGACTAGCCTACACACATTTCCAAATTGTATTTTAAGCCAATGAGCTTATCAGTCAACTTTCATTCAGTGACAGGGCGTCGATTCTCATTCCAAAACGATATATAAAAGGTTTTATTTGGTTTATATTATGAGCGCTCATTATAAAGCATGCATTTAAGGTACAAAGATCAAATTATTGCAAAAGTAGTCTGCAAATCTGCAACAAGGCGTCAAAATTCTACCAAATTTAGTAAAATATAAATGCTAATTTGCAATAAATTAAATACAGTGTACTCACCAATAAACTTCCCCCCCAAAAAACAAAGCCGATCAAATTAGAAGCAGCGCGCTTTGAAGCCTCCCCCTCTGGAGCTGAAGTGTCAGGAGCTGCGGCTGAGCCCCTCTCTCCCCTCGCTGCTACTGGAAGCTCCGCCAGCAGATCTCCAAGAAGGAAAAGCTCCAAGTGGGAAGACTCTTTGCACTACCGGCTACTTAACAGGGGGCAGTGCCCAACTCCCCATTTACGATCCTTCTTACGAAACTCATGCCTGTCTTTAAGACAGACCCACTATTTGGAAATGACATTTTCCTTTGGTCTAATGATTTAATAAGTTTCCAGCGCTAACGTGACTTCACAGCGGGGGGGGGGCAGGGTTGGTCAAACACCACCGAGAGGGCAAAGGCAATCCTAAATCAATGTATTTATTCATAATTTCAGATGAAATCAAAGTTCTCTTTGTAAACACAAATCTTTTGTTATTATCACATGGTTATTCTCTCTTAAAGAAAGATAAACACGTGTGATCAGATTGGCCAGTTTATTTGACAAGTTTATTTATCGTGTGTGCAGTAGAAAAGTAACTTTAAGGTGAAATATTTCATCAAAAGCCCAATGGGTCACTCACTACCACAATGAGATCCCGACCGATTGGTTTTTGATTCCCTCTAGTGTTCACAATAGAGCACAACACTAGATATCATGTGGAAATTAAAAATATTTAAGTTCAATAAGAGGTTTATAGCAAATGAGACACGTATTTTATTATTATATGCAGCTCATGATTCCTGCCATTAGTAAATACTGATTTCAAATAAAACATACAGAGATTATTTATATGACAAATAATGTTCCGAATTACACAAGAGTTGATCAATTACATACAGAACCTGCAGATTTGTTCCTCAGACAACTAGGTCCATTGTACAGTCCTGTCTGACGTCCACTCCCTATGAAGAGATCAGATGAGTATTATAGATGGGACTGAGATACAGTACAGGGTAATTAGCTTGAGTCTACAAACAATGCCTGATGATTCATCAAATTACAGTCATTTTATTTTCCAAGTCAGTTTTGGTAATAACACCAGTGTCAAGTTACTGGTATGAAATGAGTTTTAGCCAAAAGAAAAAAAAAAAACAAGCTGAGACACCTGAAGTGAGTTTAACTGATCACATTTCAGACAAATACTGACATAGGTACAGTGAGAGTTTGCGACTCGGAGCTCCCTTTGACCCGTCCTTCTTCCTCCTGTTCAAAGAGCAAAGATGTGTTTTTTTTTTAATGGAGTGGACCTTCAGCTTTGTGGTTCTGTTTTTATAGTAGGCTACTCTATTTTTGTAGAGTAATATTATTTAGGCATTTTCATTTGGAATAAATATAAAATATAAGTCATTTACATGTACTTGTTTCAACATAACTCCCAGTATGGTTTCTAGAGTATTCCCTCCAGAAGCAAAGGTAAAGCCATCTGACAACTATGGCTGCAGATCACTGTTGTTACCAATCAGCCTGTGGTCACTGCTGGTAGCGGTCCACCTAGCCAAGATGCATGTAGTGCAAGCACTTGGCTGAGGGCTGCATAGTCCAAACTATTATCCTTTAATCAGGACAAACTGTGGATAATGGGGATGATTAGCATTCAAACAAAATGAGTAAGTGAAAAGACACACTATGTGTCATTGAGTGGAACAAAGCTAGCAAAGCTTTTATGAAAAACAATCTGGTTTCCATTAGTGACAGGGAAAATAACTCGTGTAGCACTGAACCACTGGACTAACATTGTTCCTGGTCTCAAAATGGTGACATCTACTGGTCAGCCCTCTGTATTGCACTTGTGTGAAATAATTAAATGCAAGACAGCCAGTGTAGACAGAGGCCAACTCACAGCTGTCACCCCCGACATTTAAAAAATGTCAATGCATGCATGAGCAAAAATATGTCTCAGCCTGTTAATAGGGTATAACTTATATAAATGCATGCAGACATCCATTATCTATACTGCTTACCCTGAAGAATACATTAAAAATGGAGGAAAACCACATTAAGTGGTGGCAGTGAAATAGCAGTTAATGTTGTACAGTGATTGGCAATAAAAACACATATTAATTTGAATACATTGACCAAGTTGTTTAATTAGGCCTTGTGAACCTTATAAATAAAACCCCATAAAGTCAATTACAAACAAATTGAAACAATAAACTAATTCTTCATAAATCAGCAACACTTTAACAGATGATGTAAAACAAATGGAAACCCCAACAAATGAGAGATGTTTACAGTGCACATCATTTGGTCAACATTAAAGAATTCTGTATATTTACCACTCAGGTCAAGCAGCACAAGCTAAAGAATTTTGCCTGGAGATTTAGAATCAGGGATACCGGATATAACGGTCTAGGATAATGGCCCCATCAGCATTAATAAGCATTAGATAGCAATGCATATTCACAGTAACTATGAAGGATACCTTTTGACTGCCTCATTCTCTTTATAGAACCAGTCACAGTTGAGGGTATAGATCCACACCTTTGATACTAATAACAAATATTCTGACTCTCCAAGGCTAAAATACCTTCCATTAAATATCAATGCCTTCTGTAAATACAAGCAATGACTATCCCATCCAATACTCAAGGGAACCTCGACAACCACAGACATGTCAATGAAGTAGGTTAATGTAACCTACTTCATTGACATGTCTGTGGTTTACTGTAATATGTCAGCAGGACATATTACAGTACATAATAAGGACAAAAACTTCATACATACATCTTTAAGCCATTCCCAAAGCACTGCTAAAATAAAACAGATACTTTGATAATGGATAAATAGAAAGTGACATTCCCAGCAGCCGACTTAAAGCTACATGCACAGAAACACATTATGTTTCTAGCATCCTTCTTTTGCCTTACATGTCCTATGCATAAATACAGCTTTTGATTACACTCTTAAGATGCCGCTGGTCCTTTACACAAACACACAACAGACATTTAAAAAGACCAGTGAATTCAAGCTAAAATTAACATGCAGTCCAGAACAGACCCTGGAGGGTCACCCATGCAAGTGCAGACTGGAAAATGTTTAGTTTGGAATATCCGCACTGCTGTTTCGGGTGTCGTATTTATGATGGATGATGAGCAGAACCACACCCAGGAAGAAGCACATGGAGCCCACGGTGATGTAGGCGATGCCCAAGAAAGGGTTCTTCCCTCCCATCCAGGAGATGGTGCTCAGGATCACCCGCTTTCGGCCATCAAAGCTGAGCACGGGGTAATCTGATTACACAGAGTTAAAGTAAAAACAACAACTGGAGCTTCTGGACTGATAGAAAAGTACAGTTTACAAAAGGATTTATAAATCATCTACACATCAACTATGAATACACCCTAGTTGTACTAACTCAAATATTAACAGATTTGCAAACATCATTATGCTGAAAGTTTCTCTTAATGACAGCCTTCAAATAAACTGGTGGTAACAGCTACATTTGCCTTTTTTTCAGCAGCACAGGTAACAATTCAACCACAGATCTAATACTAAACACAGCAAGCTCGCTTCTCCAGAAACTACTGAGATCAAAAACAGCATGGGAGCTTTAAGAATATTGTTTTTCTTCATATTACTAATCTTAAGAGTATATAAAAATCAATAATAGTCAACCGTAGAGCCCAAGACTAGCTCCAATTCTGATGGTGTAGCAGAGTTTCTGGCTATAATTCAAGGATACTGTAAGTGATGTTCAAGAAATATTTGCCACTGGGTAGAGTCGGAGTTGTGCTGGACTTCTTCTGGATGATGCGGTAGAGCTTGCGAAAGGTGGGCAATGCAGCCGTGCGCATCCACACAATGAAGTCCTCATTAATAAAGCCGTTGTTATCGGGATCTGATGGGTCTAATTCATATACAGGCTTTGCCCAGTTCACTGGCTTAGCTGTGCCTGAGGAAAAGAAACAGGACAAAATCAAGCTAGTCACTACAACCTAAAAGCCTAAAAGAACCCGTGCACTGCTTGTGTAAATCACCTTGGAAAGCTACAGTCAGGTTGTTGTTTCCACCAGGATTCCTGAATTTCACATGTTTGTCTGTGTACCATGCAATGCCCTTCTTGACCAGAGGAACTGCATTTCTGGTGCCATTGGAATCCACATAATAAAGCTCCAGAGTGTCTGGAACAGAGGAGCACTAAATTACTGTACAATACTCCCTCACACAACTAAATCTGTTACGTTGAGCAGTACTGCAAATGAGATGAACAGCAAAGTAATGTCAGAGTTTTGGTATGTACTGAGCTTTTAGTAAATGTTTTATTGGCCAGATAACATACCGTTGAAAAGGCTGTTAGCTATAGCCCCACAGGGAGCAATGGGCTTGCCATCACTGGTCCGGTATGGTTCACATTCCTTGCTGGGGTTCTGTAAAAAGCAGCCAGTGTTAAAAAATAATGCAAAAGACATTTAATAAAATCTCTGCATTTTATAATAGACATTTTGAGGATTTATACCATCAAGGCAGACTGATCTCCATTCAACTGGCTGTCATCCCTGGATTTCACATAGCGTCTGTGGTTCTGATAGAAGTTAGATAAGCCGTAGTACATAAAGACATTGCTCTGCGGGGGAGGAGAGAAGGTGTTACAGACTGAGTGGTATGGGTAAAGGCTAGGAAGTGCTTTGGTCAAGTGAAACTTTTCACCTAATTCACTAAGCTGATGGTAATAAAAGGTTTTTGTTCATCAATTTAGCTGCTCCTATTGTTCTGCTAAATTACAGCTCAGATCTAAGATATACTTAGCAACACTGGTTTGCTTCTCCAGAAGATGTTGAGATCAAAATGCACCTGCCTGCAAGCTTTTTATAACTAATCAATAACAGCTTTCTACATCTTACTGCACTGCATATTTTTAAACTTGAATAATCAATAATAATAAAGGCTCCAAACAAAACCTTGGGTGTGCCATTCTTTAAACTCAAAATAGATCTTAATGGACATTCAGTTACTGCACAAGCAACACTATCGATATTGGAGCTGAAGGCATGTATTATTCACGGGGTCTGCATAAGTTGGTGCAGGTCCTCACCTCGAATGGCTGCTCCAATATGAACTCCACAGAGCAGACACACGATGTTGTGCTGTTCCAGCTGTAGCTCTTGGCACAGCTGTAGCACGAACTGTTAATGTCCGCCCCAGTGTAATCAATCTGAAAATGAGGAGCTGATTAGTTATACAACTTCCTTCAAATACATCCTCTTCTACAAAGGTTACATTATATTCTAATTTGCTTGAAACTGGAAACTGTTTTTGAAAGGTGTTGGTTCAACCTGAATGTCATTTTGAAAGCTGTTTATTGTGGTGCTGTTCTGTTGTATTGTATTACACTGGTATGTTGTTTTTTTCTAGCCTATTTATACAAGAAGGGTGTTTAAACCAAGAAAAGCTATGTGAATTGTGTGTGCTAAATCTGGCATTAATACAATCCACAAAGAGTCCGCTAACGTTAGTTCTTATTGTAACAGGTTTATAGTACATGGCTGGAAGTCGCCTCTGTATCCGGTTAACAGTGACCGTGGTTGAAATGACAGTGTCATCCAAAGCCGCCACCTGCTCGGTGATGGCTTTAGTACGAGCCCACGCCAGACAGCGGGACGTTACTGCGACGTTACCTCGTACTCTTTGATGTTGTTTGATGTGACATACAGGCCGATACCAATGGGGATGAAGATGAGACCAATAACGAAGAAAGCTGGCAGCACGGTGCCTGCTGTCAGGATGGGCTGCCAGGCTGGTAGTCTCTGCTGTTTGAACGCTGTGTTGTCCGGTTTTTTACTTTTCACAGCCCCTGGTCCGCCGTGACTGGAAGCACCCGAGGGATGTCCGTCCTCTTCCTTAGTGCTGTAGCTTGACGCCATCATAGCTGCGCCCTGCTTCGACCAAAATAATCCACTTTAGTTGACAGTCGACTGTCCCTTGTTAATGCCACACGGACAACAAGATACCAGATATTAAGGCAAAAGGTAAAACTATCTAGATAGTAAAATATACCCTCTAGCTAAGTCTGATATCTACCTAATATACTATTGATTTCATGCCTTGTTAATCACAGCCGCAAGGAAGAACCCGGAAGCTTTTGAGCCAATAGGGTGGTGAAACGTAGCAGTTACATCATCGAAGACAAAAAAGAAAAAAGTGTCGCATCCGCTGATAAATGTAAAGATATGTCAGTGAGTTTTAGCTTAATAAATTCATCACAGTCAAAATTGTTGAACTGCTAACAACTAAATGTGACATGGAACCCCTCTTGGCTGTTTTATTGTAAGGATGTCAAAAGCAAGAAAACACTTGACTGACACATAAATACAGACAACTCAGCAATTTAAAGTCATCATTTAATCTACCTGCATGTCTCTGGACTGAGGGCAGAAGCAGGAATACCAGGAGGAAACCCACACAGGCTTGGGGAGAATATGCAAACTCAGCACAGAAAGGCCAAGCACTTAGCCATGTACAGTAATGAACTGTTGCCACCATGACGAAAAATATTTACCCAGGTTTTTGTTATAAAATGTTATCTTATAGAAATATCTTGCTATGATGAAATCTTGTTTAAAAATCTTGTTAATTCTCATTAAAAAACTGAATAAACTGTTTTTATTATGATGGCAGCAATATACTCCCATGCTTTTGTCATATAGTCCAAGAAAAAGTTCAGATGAGACTGGAAACTGAAAATAAAAACAGCAGCAAAAATTTATAGCAGTTATCAAAAATCTCAAAACAGTGCATTTAAATCATGTAAATACAGATAATTTTCAAGGCAAAAATATTTCAGCACAATGAAATCTGTGGCATTTATGTGTTTGAGTACCTGTAACTACTAATATAATAACAAAATCATTTTAATTTTATCTGTTACAATTATTCATCAGTTTAAAATTGCATTGCATACAGAGCCTGCCTAAAATATCTGAAGTATACTGACCATGTAATGCTGTAAAATGTGACTTGTATGCACAGATAAAACATATCTGGAATGTTTGATTTTTGTAAAGCTGAGCAAAATTATCCCTCTCTCTTTGCTGCAAACAAATTTGTTTCTTATTTTCTTATAATGTTTCTTATAATGAACATGTCACACTACCCTTTGAAATTAATTTATTTAAAAGGCTTCTCAGTAAAAATTATTAACAGAAAAAATTAACATAATTTACATGAAAGCAGGTATTTTGAACTGTGTCCATATAAAGTATATCAACAAATTCTTATATGTAAGGATGCAGTAGTCACCTAACACAATACACACTGTAAAAACCAAAATTATGTTTACATTTAAATAAAAGAAATCGATATGAGTCAAGTACAAGAAACAAAAATTAAAAACTAATACCATATTTAATTTAACAAAATGCCTCTGTGCACTAGCTGAGTTTTACAGAGACACTTTGTTGGTACATCTCTCAGCAGCACCAAGTGCTTAAGTATTTTGTTGATGTTATTATATCAGTCAGACTTTTCCTCCATTTTGGAAAGCATTACTAGTCACATTGGATTTCTTAACTTCTATCTTCATAGACTGAGTCTCAGTTCGTGGCTCCAGTTTCATACCACCTGACATTCCAAGAGCTCCCATCACTGCTTTCCCCGTCTTCAGGCTCTTGGACATTGGGATGCGGGTCAGCCCTGTGCGAGGTGGCTGGGCATCGTGCCCAGTCTGTTTGACAACAGGGAGAGAGTATAGTTTCTCAGGCATGAGAATAAAGAGAGGGGAGCACTTGAAGGGAACATAAAAAGTAAAGAATAAAAAAAGGGGCAAAACCCATTAGGAATTGCTTAGCAATGTTACTGACCATATGCACTATAGAAACTGTGTGAATGAAAAATGCAAATATTTATCTATCCTTTCACTTCAGTCAGAGTCGGTGAGTCCTTTTCCAGGCTAGGTTTCAGTGTGCTGTTTTACTGGTGTAAGGCTGTTTTGTGTCAGCCAGGGGGCAACCAGCCCTAAATGGCTGTTTGTGAATGTAAACACTGTGTAACAACTATAAATTACAGCATGACTTTAGCAGGGTGGCAAAATGCCACATCATTAGCGCTGCGGCTCTGAGGCCTGCACATGGGGCCATTTCTGTCACGCTATCCATCTGATGCACAAAGAGCATATTATAAGGTCCACTGAAACACCAACACAATGTTGCTTTGTCAATCATTTCTAGGAGTGCAAGATAAAGTTGTTAGTGAACATAATTTACCTCATGAAACACATGTAATATATTGAATGAAACTACTGTTACTCTCAATGTTCCTGTAAATTGTTTTTCATAAGTTTCAAAACCAATCAAGACTGTGAAAAACATATGTGTTGGAAAATCACTTTCTGCCTGAGAATTTGACAAAGTTTCTGCTGTCAGCTTATCATAGCTTAGCACAAAGACTGAAAATTGTCCAAAGGTACTAAAATCATCTTACCAAAAGCTCCTCAGTCTAACCTACCTAGAACATGTTACATCTTGTTTGTAAAAAATGACCCCAAAAAGTGTAAAAACATCAATTTGGTACACAGGGTTATAGGGAATATAGTCAGTATGACCTTGAACATAATCCACTGTACAACAGCAAATCATCATATGTTTCAAAATGCTGAACTATTAGAGATTCACAAAAAAAATCAAGTACTTCCAATTAAGTGTTTACAGTAATATCTGTGGATTATCAAAAGTAAAGTGCTGTTGAATTTTGTTACACATTTTTTTAAGTGCAGTAAGTACCACAAATAAAATACTACTGGGGTGGAGGAAGAAATCTTAAAGAATGGATGTATTAAACCAGAGCTCTAGGAAAACATGTTATCTCATGAGTTGGATGATCAACACCTTAAAGCAAAACTTACCATGCTTTGTGTGGGTCTGGAAGTGGTAGATGTGACAGGGGATATAGTGATACTGCTCAGTACTTTGCTCTGTGTACTCCTGGTAGCAGTAGTGGTGATTTGACGGGGGGAGCGCAAAACTGTCCCAGTTGATAGGGTCATTTCCTTGCTGTCTGTTACAGCAGCCACTGGCCTGACTACCATCTTTGGGGTGATGTTGTTTCCTAGATGAATGTGAATCTTGTTATCGTCAGTGGTGGTGATGATGCTAGTGTTGTTGTGGCCCTTTCGTATAGGCAAAGGGACCATCTGCTTCTCGGGGGTAACCTTGAACACAGCTCGGCCCATGGTCAACTCTTGGGTCTCTGGGGATGTGGATGCTTCAGATGCTACAGCAGTGCTGACTGTCATAAGAGAGACAGGGGATAAGGGCCTTCCTGTGACAGAGGAAGAAGCTCGGCTGCCTTCCGGAGACTTGGCTCTGGATATGGCTGTGATGGTTACAGGAGACCTGGCTCTTTCAGGACCATGGGGTCCAGTGGTGGGTTTTCTCCTGGGGGTTGAAGCCGAGTAGGTGGGAATGATCGTGATTCTGGATTTAGGCTGAAATGGGCTGGGGGTGATGGGAGCTGAACTAGAGAAAACATCCTCAGTATTAGGGCTGCTGATTTCAAGACTGGCCATGTTGTTTTGGTGGTCTGGTCTTACTCGGATATGTAAAGGCTGTCCTTGCTTTGGGGACGTGGTCAGTTCAGAGGGCAAATGGTCTCCATTAACATGCACAGGCTTTTCTAGGTTAGTCTCTTCAGGGACATTATCCTTCTTTCTCATCCAGGGAATCCAGGATTTCTTCATACCTAGGTCACTGCTAGATGAAAGGCAACGCTCAATAGCACTGCTCCTTTCTGTTGGCTTCTTCAGGCACTTCCATCTGAGATTGTTCATGATGTGATTTTCTTCTTGAACAGACTTTCTGATGAACACAGCTGGGGTATCCTCCTCTGTGGGTCCATTTGGAGATACCTCTGTTTGTACTCCTGTGGTTGTCACAGCAACGTCCACTATTCTCCTCCCATTCAAGCTGGGCCGGAGTGCTCGACTATGTCGCTTTGCTAGCTCCAGCTCCTGGGTGAGATGAGAGACTTCATTACCCATGTTCTTGGCTTTCTCTTCTTCCTCCAAGAACCTCTGCTGTAGGACAGAGTAGTCCACTTGCAGCTGAGAAAGCTGGTCTTCCTTGTTCATTAGCTCATGGATTTTCTCCTTGAGGGCTATCACATCAGACTGCAGTTCTCTGGTTTTGACCTCCTCTCTCATGCATCGTTGTCGAAGGTCTTCCTGGCTGTCTTCCTCTCCTTTCTCGACTGCTTTGTTCCGCGCTATCTGACTCCTCATTTCCTCTACCTGCTGTGACAGGATGTTGGCTTTGTCTTGTTCACTAATAAACCTTTTCTCCAACATGTCATACTGGTCCTCTGTCTTGATCAAATCTCCCTCTACCACTTCAAGTTGTTTTAGACGATTTTTCAGGCGCTCAATTTCAAATGTCAGTTCCTTAACTCTGTTGTCTTCTCTTCTAACAGGGTCGGGCACTTTTCCCAGTTCGTATTTTACTGAATTCTTCACTAATAGCTTTTCTGCTTGCTCAAACGCATCTAACCTCTTTTTCATTTGACTAACCTTTGCATTCAGATCGTTCAATTTATCAATTTCATAAGCTAGCTTAGTGCTTAGCTCCCCCTTTTCTGTGGTTAAAGTTTCTACTTTGGTTACCATCTCTGATTTTAACTTCAGGAGTTTTTTGCTTTCTTCTATCAGTTTCTCTGTTACTTCCATAACTTTTTCCTGCTCAGCTTTGACCATCTTACTTAAATCATCCTTTTTCTTTTCATCTGATTTCATTCTTTCCATTAAGGCCTTTCGTTCTTCTATTAAAGCCACAGTCAAAGACTTCAGCTTACTCAAGTCATCCTTAAGGCTCAGCTCAGACTTTTCCAACTTGAGTTCAGAAGACTCTACCTCTTTCATACGGATCCGGAGAGCCACAACTTCATCTGAGAGGTCTTTGGTCAGGCCCCTCTCAATCTCTAAAGTTGTATGTAACTGTGCACACTCAGACTTGCTGATGGTGAACTCACCCTCAAGTTTCTCTAACTCTATCATTCTTTTCTGGAGCTTCTCCACCTCCAGCCTGAGTTCGTGATGCTTACTGTCCTTCTCTTGTAGCCTTTTTCTTAGCTCCTTACACTGATTTTCAGTCTTTGTGATCTCCTCATCCTTTCCTTCCATCTCCAGCACCCGCTTCCGCAAGTTTTCCAACTCAGCAATCAAATTGGAGTTGCCACATTCCCCTTTGCTAATCTTAGCCCTGAGCTCCTGCAATTTCTCCTCAGATTTCCTCAATGTCCTGTTGCTCTCCTCTAAATCTTCCACTTTATGCATAAGCCCCAAAAGTTTGGTATTGAGTTGACGGTTGTGAAGTTCTTGACTGGCCAGTTTGGCATTCATCTCCTCATGTTGCTGGGTGAACTTGGCAGATTTCTCTTTAAGTTCAGCTTCCAGGCTCAGCACCCTGTGGCCATCTTCCTGAGTATGCTCCCTGGCTTCATTCAGTGCCTGTTCCTGCTGCTGCAGCTTCTGGCTGAGTTCCTGGACCCGCTGGCTTTGTTGGTCTATTTGCTCCAGGTGGTGCTGGCGCTCATTGACCAGCATTAGAGCAAAGGACTTCAGCCTGACCAGCTCCTCTCGCACCTTGGCCAGACGTTTAGAGTGCTCCTTCTCTTTTTTTACCTGGAAGGTCTTCTCATTCTCAAGCAGCCTCTTCAGTCTAAAAATATAAGGAAAAAAGAAAGGCGTGGTATTAATGTGGTGTTACAATGATTTCAAAGGTAGTGAGTATTTATCTGTGTTTACTATCATGTCAGGAAAATCGGAATCATTGGTATTCAAGAATGCAGTGTTATCCTCATTAATGTTTCAGCATAGTGAGTGACAGTCCTGGTTATGTTCAGACTCTTTAGTGTCAAAGTGGTAGAGATAAAAATCTCAAGACACCTCCATAATAGTGTTATTTTGCTGCTGCTACTTTAAGCCATTTTCATTTAAAATTAAAATAAAAATGTGTTAGAACAACTAATTATTACATACATTATATTCTGCAATCAATGAAAGATCATAAATACTATGCTACTATGCAGCAATAAGGTTGAGAGAGATAACTAGCAAAGATATGAACTACAGCTCCTAAACACTTTTGCCATTTTCATGCCTGTTGTTGGGATAGTAAGAGCACACACTGCTTGTCTAAGTTTACCACCCCACTCACCAAGTGGTCTTCTTTTCTCTTAGCTTCTTTCTATGCCGCTCATGCACATTCTCATCTCCAGCTCCAAAAAAATGCGTGCAAAGCAGATTGAATGCAAAGCTGTATCTTCTCCTTGTACACTCCCAGGGACGTACTAATACAATATTCAACCCCAACATTTTTGCATTGCAAAATCATCAAGTTAATAGGCACCAGCACAACAAGGAAACTTGTTCACCTCTCTATAGATTTAAAATGAGTCCCATTTAAAACATCATATCAAAACATGCCAACAACATCTCAAAAGCTGTGAAACAAAACCCAACTTACCCACTGGGGATGTTCTACAAACAAGCACATGGACTTATTTGCCATTATAGAAAATCCACCAGGATAGCATAAGACCCAGCAGGAGCCTCCTTTTTCACAAATCCTCCATTTTAACATTCCAAGTACTTTATCAGGACAATGAAAGATGAATAAATACAGTGGGCCACCACCTGACCTCTAGTGAGTGATATCACCTTATCCGTATAAGGCAGTAATGTGTATATGAGAGTGTGTCCTGCTCTGCTTTAGACACAGTGAAGGGGGTGGGGCCTTTGCCACAGGAGGAGGGTTTTTGCCACCCCCCACCCCCATTT